CTGGGGCACAGATCATAGACATCATGATTCTTGTTATAGATGCTTGCAAGGGGGTACAGACGCAGACGGCAGAGTGCATCGTAATTGGTGAGGTCCTGTGTAAACCGTTGGTAGTGGTGATTAACAAGATTGACGCGGTCCAAGGCTCAACCCCCGAAGAGAAGCGCGTAACACTTGACAAATTGCGGAAACGTCTTCAAAGGACCTTTGAACGCACGCGCTGGCCCTCCGTACAGATGGTGGAAGTTGCCGCTGCTCCGCGCAGAGACGAGGCGACATCAGGAGAGGTTTCTCATCCCATTAATATGGAGGAGGTGATTTCCGCCGTTTTGGGTCTTGTGGATTCAACGGCGTTGAAGGACCAGTTGACAACACCGCTACGCTCCGAAGATTTTGTGATGATGTTTGATCACTGTTTTGTGTTGAAGGGTCAAGGCACCGTTTTCACCGGCACTGTGATTTGTGGCCAAGTCAGTGTCGGGGATAACATTTTGATCCCCGACTCGCACGTGGTAAAAAAGGTGAAGGGGCTGCAGGCATTTCGAAAGCCTCTCCAGCACGCAAGAAGAGGTGATCGTGTGGGTTTGTGCGTGGTTCAATTTGATGCAGAGGGGGTGGAACGGGGTATATTGTGTAGTGCACAACACCAACGAGGGAATGCAATCTCCAACGTACCTCTCCTGTTTGAGAGCACATCAGTGATTGTTGCTGAGGTGAATCGTGTGCGTTTTCATCAGCTTTTGTGTGATGCTCACACGAAATTTCACATCACCATTGGACACTCAACAGTGATGGGAACGATGAAGTATTTTAGCCGTCCCACAACCATTGCGCCTGAGGAGAAGGAAGCATCATTTGATATCTGGCAGGAAAGTATGTATGTTGAGGAACTGACAGAAGACGCCTTTCTCACCTTTGATAGCACGGAAGGACAGCCACAAAGTGGTCAACCGGTTGCCGTGAAACGCGGTCCCCTGACATATTATGCCATCATTCTCTTGGAACGGCCTATTATGGCCGCCGTTGGTACACCACTAATCGCCACACGACTCGATATGGAGCGGGACAACATGTGTCGCATTGCAATTTCGGGGTCTGTGCGCGCGCTTCTAAGCAGTGGAACCTCTGCTGACGCATCGATCATTTCCTGGCGCGAGCTGCCGATTGTGCGCTTTAAATCCAGGGTGCTTGTTGTGGAGCGCGTGGTAAACGAGAAGACTTGTATTGCCAGTGGCGTTGTGGGATTTGAGGCCCCTGAAACACGTGGCAGTAGTATAAACCAGAAATCAAAAGAAAAAGACACGCTGCACGCGGAGGTGAAGAAGTTCATTGGAATGCGGGTACATTTTCGCCCGACAGGGGAAGAAGGAAATGATGCCACCATCCTCACGGGAGTGAAGGAGGGAATAATTGACTCCGCCTTTGGTAAGACAGGAAAGGTGAAGCTTGTATTCAAGGATCCCATTTTTGCGGAGAATGAGCCTTCGACCACCGGGCGAACGAAGCGAGGGGGCGTGACATTTCTCACGGACGGTGTGGTGGAGCTCACGCTGAAAAAATATCCTCTGGCTGTTCACTGTCAGCTCCAGCAGTAGACGGTTGTGAGAACGGACGAACAGGCCGGTGTATTTTCACATGAAGCGTATCTTTTGGCTCTTGGCCCTTACGGTGCACGGTGTCCTTGATTTCTGACTCCACCCACCTCTTTTAAGCTGGTTCACTACTCATCTCATCGTTGTTAAGATTATTATTGTCACCACGCCTGTTTTTGATTTCTTTTTTTTTTTTATTTATCCACAAGGACCAGTTCCTTTTGCGATGAATCGACTCGAAGTCATTCGGAAGTCAATTTCATATGTTGGCCTCGATCCGGCCATGTTCAAACCTTACCCTTTTAATGTCAGTAGTTCCGCCCTCTCAGAACTGATGGACTGCATGTCCTACATTGTATTCCCCGAATTCAGTGAACCCCCAATGAATCCTGTGACTGTCCCCGAGCAACGCCTTGGTGGCAGTGCACTGCTTCAATGGACACTGACCCGCATGGCCGACATTATCAACTCACAGATTTATTCTGCCCTTATGCTTCAGGGCCACACGAAATGCTCTAAGGATGAAGCAGGTATTCCCCACTCGTTAAATGCTGAGAGCGGGTCAAATGATGATGGTTTTATACCTCAAAATGAAACTCATGCCTTTGTCGAAGTCAGATCTTTTCATTTGGAAGCCAAGAAAAAGGCGGAAGAGATCACAGAAGCTTTTCTAATGCGTAAATTACGCAACATACGGTGGCTTCTTCGTACCGATGCAGAAAGTATCCTTAATAATGATATTGCATCTAACTCTCTCTCGGAAGTGGTTCTTTGCTATCCCGGACTACGCTGCATGAAACACCAGCGCACTGCACATGCGTTACACGAACTGGGGGCTCCAAGCAATTTTACGCGCCTTCTTACAGAAATGGCGCATTCCACGACCGGCATTGACATCCATCCTGCTACCTCTATTGGCCATCATTTTTTTATTGATCATGGTACTGGAATTGTGATTGGGTCAACCGCCATCATTGGCAACCACGTATCTATATATCATGGGGTCACGCTGGGGACAAGGTCGTTTCCTGTGGTTGCTAAAACTGGGGAGAGGGTGAGGAACCTTGCACGCCACCCCATTATTGAGGACAGAGTGACCATCTACGCCAACGCTATGGTGCTTGGCCGAATTCGGATAGGGAAGGATAGCGTCATTGGTAGTTACTGCCTGGTCTTGAAGGACGTACCTCCCAAATCCATGATTCGGCGGACTCCCAATGCAAAACTCCCTACTCCATATATAACCATTTAAAAAGGTGGATCGGATATCTGAGAGCACCACACACAGTGAAGTAATGACAAAATTGAAAGTATTTTATTTTTTTTCGAACTCGGATAGTCAAAAACACATACACACAAAAAAAAAAAAAAAGAAGAAGCAAGAGAATGTGAGGAATAAGGTGAATTGATATTCTTGGGTTACAGCAGTTGGGTTACTTGTGACGGTCGGATTCAAGGGGACAAAGCAGGTGGTGGATATATCAGTATATATAAACATCTGATTTTATTCGCTTGTCATTTACTACTTTTTTTTTCTTTTTTTTTTTTTACTTCTCGAAGTAAAACCAGTAATTTTATGAGATGGAGTAAGTTGAGATTAGGCGTATATTTATAGGTTGTTATATTTTCGTTTGTGTGAAAAGTCTTTACTGTTGTAATGGTGTTCGAATGACGAACTGGTTGAATTTGGGGTGTTTTTTATTTTTTATTTTTTATTTTTGATTTACATGTTGTACATGCGATGCCTGAACGTAAATATTTTTTTCTCTCTACCCGCAAACAGGCAGAGTATTGGTATTAGTAGTTTTTGCCTACCACGACGACAACAACAACAAGATGTTTAGTGCTTCTGCCCTATGGCTCCGAGGTCAGTACAAGACACGTCTCAAGAAGCGCATGGTCGGCTTCATTCCCAAAGTGATTCCACGGAAGATAAAGAACAATATGGTGGCTCTGCGTAGCGAGGCAAACACAGGGCACATGGAGGGCTACATGAAGACCGAGGCGGAAAGACTTGACGCTACAGGTCGCAAGGTTCAAAAGGTGCTATGGGACCCCGTCTTGCAGAGGCACTGTTTGTTCAAGGAAACAAAGATTCGAGGGCCCTTCATGACGAAAGCGAACATCGTTAAGAAGATGGATTTCCCCATTGGAGCAGCGGGGACCGCTTCTTTGAAGTAAGTGGCCCTGTCAGTGCGAAGAAGAATGGGAAGGGCGGGAAAGAAAAGAGGTGTGCGGAAAACACAGCGTAGCTGCTTTTTCAAGAAAAATTAAACCTCTTAAAAGATTATTATTATTATTATTATTATTATTATTATTATTTACCGCCCAACAACACGTGGGAATTTGGACAGATATCAATTTTCTTCTTTTATTACTTTTTTTTGGACGTTTTTCCTTTTTTTTCTCTTTTCCGTTCACGAAGGCGATTGTGTGCATCTATGCCCTTGCAAAAGTCAAGAGTGGCTGCCGTGGTAGATGGGGAAGACGACTCGGATGACGGAGAGCTTCCTCACACGGCCAACGCAGAAAGAGTTCCTTTTGTGGAGGAGCTCAAACAGAACGTCACTTTATTGTACCAGCGTGCGGCAGTTCAGTCGTCGTCACAACAGGATACCCCACCTCGGAATGACCCACACGTCGTGGAATTGCCACCACCACCGCCAGCGCCTTCCCGAGAGTTGCAGGTCCGAGAATCGGACGGAAGCCTATCAGCGCTACAGAGGCAATTAACAGCACTTCAGTCAGTGCTTAAGAGTAGTCAAGAAAGGTTCCAAGTGCGTGACGACGCAACGGCAAGACGCTCGCTACCAATTGTTACTGCATCCCAATTCAAACGTCCAATCAGTGAGGACTTCCTCCATGAATTGAGAGAATGTCGCTTAACACAATCTGGTGGAGATGAAAATACTGCACATCTAAAAGAGGGTTTCTCTTGTCACTGTGAAAACAATTTACGGACTGCTTACAACAGATGGAGAGGTATTCTTGCAGAAATACACGCAAATGCATTAAAAAGGACATCAACAATTGCCTCCAAGCTAGATTCAGAAATCAAAGGCCAGAAACAATTCTTGGAGGAAGCACGGCAGCGTATTAAAGGTACTATTCTCCTAACAAGCACGCTTTCTGATGCAATCACTTGCTTTACTCGCTATTCTCCGGAGCATTATGGCGCTCTTCAGGAAAACCGAAAAACTCCAATCTAATGAACGAAACGAACACAGTGAATTCCAGTTTTTCGGCAAGGAAGAATTCCAATTGCGCCACCTTTCCACCACTGCATTCTATTTCCTGTTTGTGGGCATGCTTGTTCTCACTTTTTTATTATTGTTATTATTTTTTTATTTCTGCCTTGCCACACTGGATGATCTCACTCTTTTTTTAGGGAATCCCAGGCACACTCAAATGTCTCACTGCAAGTTTGAACACCCACGCCACGGCCATCTTGGCTTCCTGCCACGCAAGCGCAGCCGACAGATTCGCGGCCGCGTTCGCTCCTTTCCTAAGGATGACCCGTCACAAAAGCCGCACCTGACCAGCTTTATGGTGTTTAAGGCGGGCATGACGCACATCGTTCGCGACGTTGATCGCCCCGGTTCCAAGGTGAACAAGAAGGAGGTTGTGGAGCCGGTGACGATCTTGGAGGCACCGCCCATGGTTGTGGTGGGCATCGTCGGCTACCGCCAGACGCCTGTGGGCCACAAGACGATCGGCACCGTGTGGGCGCACCACACCAGCGTGGAATTCCGCCGCCGCTTCTACAAGAACTGGAAGCAGTCTGCGCAGCTGGCCTTCACGAAGCGCAAGCAGTTTGCTCGCACGACTGAGGGTCGCCTTGCCGAAGCGCGCACGCTGAAGGCCTTTGCCAAGAAGGCTGACATCATCCGTGTTGTTGCCCATACCCAACTGCGCAAGCTGCGTAACAACCGTGTTGGTGTGAAGAAGGCGCACGTGAGCGAGATCCAGATCAACGGCGGCACCATTGCCGAGAAGATTGAGCTTGCCAAGTCTCTCCTGGAGAAGGAGGTCCGCATTGACTCCATCTTTCAGCAGTCCGAGACGTGCGACC